TTTTTTTTTTTTTTTTACAGGAAACTTACTGGTTAGTTCAGCCAAGAGATGGTTTCCCTGTTTTTGACAGTTACACAGTTGCTTATGTTTGGTATTAAACAGACAAATAACAAAATAAACGATGATTCTGGTGGGACAGAGGGTCTTTATCTATCTTGTACTATAAAACAGTGCACATAACTGCCTCAAACTCTCATAGCCCAGACTTTATGGATTCTGGCAAATCTGTTGTTATAATTGAAGACTAGTCCGTTTCTCAATATATGTGATGCCATTATCTTTTTTTTTTTTCTCATCAGCTTTTCTTATTGATTTGTGATTTTCCAGTAACAAAAGTGGAAGAGACGTTTTGTCTTATGTATTAGATAATACACAGACTTCCCTTGGTGTTTAGGTTTATAACATTTCCTTTTCCTGAAGAGAAAAGAAATCAGGTCAGTCCTTGTTGCCTTTGAAGAAGAATCTGTGAAAGGTTAGCTAGGATTGTGTGTGTGTGTGTGTGTGTGTGTGTGTGTGTGTGTGCGCGCGCGCATTTGTTTCCTTCACAATATTAGGTGACAGGGCTGTGGTCCGTGGTCCCATTTATATGCTTCCCATTTATATGAGGATTATGATGGCATTATAGTTCGGTTGCTGCTTTCTCTTAAGGAGAAGGTCAGCTTAGTACTTTGTGTCCCTTAAATGGGTACCAAATCATCAGAACAAATCACGGAGCTTATTTTGCACCTTATGTATGCAAGGCACTTTGCTCAAGGAGCTAATTGACTATTTATGGAAGAAGCACTGAGCAGGTGAAGGGATGTCGTAAGGAAAGCGTAACTGCCAAATGATTCATATTGATTCCCACTGGGATGCTCAGGGAAGGTTTCGTAGAGAAGGTTCCTACGGATTGGGCGAAACTAAGAGCAGAGAGGAGGGAAGATTTTAGCACATCACTGGGGGTTGGTTAGTGGATAAACCAGTTTGGAGTAGAAGTTTGCAGACTATAGAAAACTACTAGAAGGGGGAATGTCTTTAGGGCTAGAATGTGGACAATCGTGAGTATCAAGGAATTGGGGTTTCTGTTTGCCAGGCGGCAGGATGTCATGGCAGGTTTTTGAGCAGAAGGAGAGAAAACCAAAGGAGTCCTTTAATTAAAGAGACAAATTTAACTTAGCAGGGCACGTAATGGGGTAAGGATTAGGAAGACCACATGGGATGGAAGGAAAAATAAAGTAGGTTTTTGTTTTTGGTAGATTTTTTTGCCATCTGTCCTACCTTCTTTCCATCCTATCTGGTCTCCCTGATATCTGTAGGTCCCCAAACCATATTCCTGTTTTACCACACAGAATCCACCTCTGTGGCGGGACTTACCATACTCATTGCTTTGGCCAAATGGACAAGTGACTTAAAGCCAATGGCTGGTTTAGAGAAACCACTGGTTTGAATCCTTTTCTTCTCTGACCTGACATGTTGCATATGGCTGACGCGGGTTGGTCTTTCAGCGTTAGTTTGTCTTTCGTAGACACTGTTGTAGCCACACCTTTGAGACTCTGATCAGGCCAGCGCATGCTTCCTCCACACTCGCTCTGTGCCAGCACTGGGGAGGCAGAAGGAGCCCCTTAGCTCCAGGGGCTCATGTCGTCGTAGTAGTCCAAGGCTCAAGAAGAATATGGGACAGCCAGTGACAAGTCTCCACAAAAACACGGTCCCTGTTGAAATGCCAGTGACAATTCTCAGTGCTTGGGAAGAGAGTAGGGAATAGCAGTGCATGAAAAATGCTCAGCACCCACTTGTTTCTCCCCCTAAGGATCTCATGGAATCAGAGTAAAAAATTTTTTATTCAATTTTGTTAATATTTATTTATTTTTTAGAGAGATCGAGAGAGAGAGAGAGAGAGAGAGAGAAACAGAGTGCGAGCGAGGGAGGGGCAGAGAGAGAGGGAGACACAGAACCCGAAGCAGGCTCCAGGCTCCTCAGAGCTGTCAGCACAGAGCCCGATGCAGGACTCGAACCCACAGACCCCAAGATCATGACCTGAGCTGAAGTCGGACACTTAACCGACGAAGCCACCCAGGCGCCCCCCAGAGTAAAATTTCGTAAACTCCTTGTATCTTACCCATTTCCTGGTCTTTCTTTGCAACAAACTTATGGGCACAGATACACCCAACGAAGCTTTGGGGTAGCTTGGAAGTATCTGAAACCTACTGGGGGAAACCCCACGATGGATATTGTGACCGTGTGAAGTCACTTGGAGAAATTAAATTTCTTAAATCTTACAATATTCACGGGGCTAGTAAAGTGTTGATTTTACTTCTGCAGAAGTGGATCAGGCGAGAGAAAATGCAGCCCACCTTATGAGTAATTTGTACCTAGGACTGTATCTATGACATGAGGTGTTGGGGCATAACTGATCTTGTGTGTTTCTCCCAACACAGATAGTGGTAGCCACCAGCCTTGGACAGGATTTGAAAAGCTACCATAATCAGACCATTAGGTAAGTGCAATATTTTTCTCTTTATTCAAAATGTCGGTTAAGGACTCAAAAATCTTCATACGTTAGCCTTCAACCCCCATGTTTTTCCCACATCTCCGTATTCAGCTCTTGTGGCTGGTCTGCCCTGTAGCCAGCCTTTGTATTTTTTTTTCTGTCCGCAAGCTCGCCCCATTTCCCCCACAACATTTTTTTTTCCAAGCAAGAGAAACTGTTCCTCTCTCCAGATCTCCTGGTAAATTCTCCCTTTCGTGGCACTTGATAATTCGTTTTCTTTGAAAATTGTCTTCTATGAAGGCTTCTGAAAAATAAATCAAGGTATTAACGTTGCTTATTGAGAATGGTTGGTAACTTTGGCCTAGTATAAAACATAAAAGCAGACAGCCCTCATATTTATGTTTATGATCTGAATTCGAAATGCACACAACGATTGGTATTGCTGTAACTTTTCATCTTCCTGTAACCATTCCCCGCAAGAGTTACAGAAACCGAGAAGGGGGTCCTTTGCTTCGCATTTCATAATTTTTTAATTTGCTTCAGCATCCTTGTCTAATAGCGGGTTCTTCGGGTGGCAGAACCATGGGGTAGCCTCCTTTAGGGACTCAGGGTGCCTCAGCCTCGCTAGACAACATATATACGATCAAATGCTTAAGAATAAGTGTAGAGAATAACAACAAAAATTACCAGCTTTATGTGTATGATTTATGTATGCGTGTATATTACACATGTACCAGCTTTATCTGTATAATTAAAAAAAAAATGTATCAGCCACTTTGGCTGGGGAAGGAGGACTCATTCCTCCTCGCTATTGTTGTTCTACAGCAGGCAGGCAGCTCTCTCCGAACGGGCTCGTTCGCTCAGACTCGTCACACAGTCCGGATGTTCCTGGAAACCAATTGTTAAAGAAAGGAATAGAAGGACAGGTTGGGACAAGGGAACTGAGGGGGGGCATACAATACGCCCTACTTCCCGCCCCCCCTCCCCATTCCTGTTTACACTGAAGTCAAACCGATTGCTTTCTGGCTCTGGGCACTTAGAACAATTCTTATTTTCACGGCCGGATTAAAGGATTACCGTCATAAGGAGGGGCTAAGGAGGTGTTACTCCTCAGCTTGCAAGGAGAAGGTCAGGGGCGACTTGATAGTTGTATTGAGACAGAGAGGCTGATGCCTAAGAACAGAGGGGAGGTCTAGAAAGGGTACCAAGTGGATTTAGAGCAGTCGGAAGGAGTTCACCAGACGTGAGTTTTGTTGTACAACAGGTGGCCGTGGGACCTCCTCTGAAGAGTTGGGGCAATAGGCGAGGCCTGGGAGTTTGTTCGCTGCACAGAAACAAATGATGTGTGGCTCTTCCGGGAGCTCCTTCTAGTGCCCTGCTCTGCCAAGTGAGCCCCAGAGAAGGAGGGCTTGCATTTTGGGATGTGAAGTGTGAAATAGTACCTTCTCCTTTCTCTCCCGACACCCGCCCACAACCCCAGGACCTTTTGGACAAAAGATTGATTTTATAGGCTCTTTTTCATTCGCTGTGTAAGGGCTTCCTTTCACTTTGCATCTCAGGGATCTGGATGCTGGCACGACTGAATGGTAGACGGAGGGATCGCAGGGTGATCCGGAGCTGGGACCGGGATGTGGAGAGAGAGACATAGGCCTTCCCCATAAAATTTAAGGAGGTGCCAAAAACCTCAGTAGTTGTATTAGTTTACTAGGGTTCCTGGAATAAAGCCACACAAACTGAGTGGATTAAACAACTGAAAATTATTGTTTTGCAGTTCTAGAGGCTAGAGGTCCAAGATCACGTGTCAGCTGGGCCGTGCTCTCTCTGAAGGGTCTGGGCAGACCTGTTCTAGGCTCTGAGGCTTCCAGGCCTCTCTTCAGCTCTGACAGCTCCTGGGGCTGTGGCAGCAAAACCCCAGTCTTTACAGGGTATTTTCCCTGTGACGGGGTGTGTGTGTGTGTGTGTGTGTGTGTGTGTGTGTGTGTGTCTTTGTCCATATGTCCCCTTTGGACAAGGCCACCAGTCATATTGGACTACGGGCCCATTCTGCCAGTGTGGCTTCATCTCAACTAATTACATCTGCAATGACCCTATTTCCAGATAAGGTCACCCTCCGAGAGACTGGGGGTTCAGACTTCAACCTGTGAATTCGGGTGGGGACAATGATACAACTTAACTCATAACAGTAATCATGATAAATACCACTTAATGCAATATGGTGAGAAAGAGAAATTAGTGGAAAGAATGCACAATGAACGAAAAATGAAAGTTTTGAGTAAATACAGAATCCGTGTGATCACATAAGCATCCAGAGAAGAAGACTGATTTTCAGGTACATACCAATTCAACATGCCCCTTAAAGCATTGCAGTGATTCCTTACCTGGTGGTACAGGCCATCCCCAGACCCAGGAATGCCCCCTGTCACCTCCTCAGCTGCCCTGCCTGTATTCCCGGGACCTCACCCATCAGTAAGAGAACTAAAGATTTAATGTTGCGCCTACCTGGGATTCCTGTGGTTAGATATTTGGAATCTCATCCATCAGAGAGATCTCAGCGCGGGCCAAGCCAGTGAACTAAACGTCAGATATTTTATTCCTTTCTTGTCATGGAAACATAATGATAGCTGCTATCCCATAAAGGTGGTGTAGAACGATTAGTAATTAAGTGCTCGGAAGCACAGTGCCATACATGAACGAATGGCTGTCAGTAACACTGGGTGACAGGTAACAACTTCAGGCCTGTACTGTGTTTATCCTTCCTTCCTTCATTCATCCAGCATATTCTCATTTGTCCCAACGCGTCCACCATGTACCTGACACAGTGCCGGCCTCTGGGGATGAAACGATGAACGAAAAGAATACAGTCAGTCCCTGCCTTCAAGGAGGCTAAAAAAAAAAAAAATCTAATTGGAGGTGGTCTGGAATTTACAACTAAATTTAAAATTGCAATTCGTGGTGAATTCTGGGGAAGTGATGACTATAGGGTGACCTGAGGGGAGACAGGAGGTCAGAATTTACGGCAGGTCCCCGGGGACGTGACATTTGAGAGCACAGCTAATTTGAGGCTCTGAGTTCCCCTATGAAAAAAACCCTCGAGGGGCGCCTGGGTGGCGCAGTCGGTTAAGCGTCTGACTTCAGCCGGATCACCACCAGCGGTCGTGAGTTCGAGCCCCGTCGGTCTCTGGGCTGATAACCGAGCCTGGGAACCCTATTTCCGATTCTGTGTCCTCCCTCTCTGCCCTCCCCCGTTCATGCTCTGTCTCTCTCTGTCCCAAAATAAATAAAAACGTTGAAAAAAGAAAAAAAAAAATTAAAAAAAAAAAAAAAACCTCGAGCTGGAACTGTTTTCTAATTCTGAGTGAGGTTTATTTAACGACATCGGAGATTCATCTGGGCTGCTGGCGCTCTATAGTAATACACCAAGGCACTCTCCTATGTCCAGATAAGAGTAGAGATAGTTTGCCAGTGTGTGTGAGGTTTCCAAAAGGGGTGGTCTGGGCTTTGGAACTGTCTAGCTCAACTTTTATGTTGGTGAAATTGATGACCTTCAAACAATGCACGCACAGTACAAGGAAGCTCTTGGCAATCTTTGGGCAGCCCCTGAGAATTTTGGAGGAGAAAAATGTGGAGGCACCAATGTGGATGGAGACTAAACTGGAGAGAGCTCTTATTTAGTTGTTCTTTGGGGGTTCCCAGATCCAAAACCGGGATTGAGGAGGCCTTTGCCCCCTACCACCACCAAGCAATTCTCAGACACCAGCAAAGTGTCTGAGAATTCAACTCCGTTACGACACTATCTGGAGATTGCATCAGATGCCACAGGGTAAGGGTCAGTCCTACAAGACTGTCCCTACCCCCACTTAAGATGCCAGTTCCAAGCTCCAGGCTGCAGATTGGAGGTTCCAATGACCTCCTCTGTAGGTTCTTTTAATTTGCTACAGCAAATCAAACTCATAACTCAGGGAAGCACTTATGTAAATTTACTATTAAAGGATCTGCTATAGGATACTAATCAACGGCCAGGTGAACAGATACATAAGGCGAAGTCTGGGGAAAGAGCACAGAACTCCCATGCCCTCTCCAGGTATGTCACTTTCCCCAGCCTCCATGTGGTCACCAACCTTGAAGCTCTAACTCAGTCTTTTATGGAAGCATCATTACACAGTCAGGATTGACTAAGTCATTAGCCGTTGGCTGGTTCAACCTGCAGCCCTTCTCCCCTCCCTGGAGGTTGGGGGATGAAACCAAAAATTTCAGTCCTTTAACCACATGGTTGGTCAATCTGGCAACCAGTCTCTCTACCTTTGGATGGAGTCCAAAAGGGACCTTTGTTGATGTAACAAAAGAAACCCTTATCACTTTCAACACGTAGGAGATCCCAAGGGTTTGGGGAGCATCATGAGCCAGGAACTACGGACAAAGACCAAATATATATTTCTTCTAAATCACGATGTCACAGTTGTATTGTGATAATGATGTTAAAAGCCCAAAAAATTACAATCCAGTACCATAGGGACCAAGTAGTTTATTGATTGGTTGAAAAATTTGAGTTAAAGCGAAGATCCATTTGAAAAGACACTTAACCATCGGGGCACCTGGGTGACTCAGTCGATTGAGCATCTGACTGCTGATTTTGGCTTGGGTCATGATCCCAGGGTCGTGGGATCAAGCCCTGCATCAGGCTCCACGCTCAGCGTGAGCTTAAGATTTTCACTCTTTCCCCTCCTACCCCTCCCCTGCTTGTGCTCTCTCCCTGTCTAACAAATAATTTTAAAAAGATACTTACCATAAACGTCTTATTTTAATTAAAAAAAATAGAAGTGTATCTCCATCCACCAGTCTTTCCAGATAGGGCCTTTCCTTTGTTACAAATCTACCGATTGGAGTTTTGTGTGTGTGTGTGTGTGTGGTCTTTCTTACATAGGTGGCACTCAATTTCTCTTTCTTAACAAATGAAAAAAAACCAAGCAAGCAAAGACCCCTGTGAAACTATCGGAGCCAAAATACATCTAGACGTCTCCCATTTTTTTCTAATCCTTTACAGTTGTCCTAATTCCACGCTTTTTAAGCAACCATTACCATTCTTTTTCTGAGTCTACCCAAAAGACTCAGCTTAATTGTTATAAAGGAGCAACTCTTTCTTCCTGCTCATATTTTATTGGGGAACATTATAGTTAATTAAATTGTATAGTTACAATGACCATCCAATCGGCACGGCCAGGTTTGGGAACAAACACTGCTTACTCTTAACTCAGCCCGTGGTCCTACCAAGATGGCAGCAAAAGTCCACCAGTGAATGAGGTTAATAATAATAATAATAATGGTCGTGAACAGTGATGGCGCTTACTCTGTGCCAGGCACTGTTCTAAATGCTCTCTTTAAATTTTAGTTTACCTAATCCTCACGACGACCCAGTAGGTGGGTACTATTATCATCCCTATTTAAGCCATGAGGAGACTAAGGCTCCCGAGAGCAGGCTGCGGCCAGTGAGCACCCAACGCGTTGCAGGGATGGCGGTCAGGTGAGCTGATGAGTTGGTTGAGCCGAGTGCCAGAAGGAGCTTCTATTATAGAAGCATTGCTCTGTATCCCTCCAGTGCCAGGCATTGCGTCGTGAGCGTGGCTGGAATGTTAAGTCATTCTACGGTCTTGAGAAACGAAATCAATCCACGGCTCTCAGAGATAATAACTTTGCAGTCCCACTGGAAAAGAAAAGGAAGGACCATCATCGTCTCGCAGCCCTTCAAGCCTGAGCTTTTCTGAAGAGAAAAATACCGGAGACGAAGCCCTTCTTTCCCAGTTTAGCTGCCTTCTGTAAAGCTAATTTCTAAGCGCTCACTTTGTGCTGCCGTCACTTGATGGGGTCAGAGAGTCTCATTCCTTCCCGCTTTTGCCTTCCTTTCTGGCCAGGTGCACCTGTTAGGGGTCAGGTTCCTGGCTAACCGTCAGTACATCCCCTCTCTGGGGTAACCCCAGGTTGCTTGGCTCCTGTGATCCCACTGCTGGTATCTTGCTCCATCCCTCTTGGCGTCACCCTGGCCCATTGCTCTCGCGGCCTGCCGGGCTTCTGGAGGCTTGCCTGGCATTTTGTTTTCTTTCCATCTGCTTCCGTCTGCCCTCTGCCTTCCCTGGCTCTTTCCGCTTTGCCTGGCTTCTCACTTGATGCCTGTCTTGACCCCCTTCCCCCAACCTGCTGTCCACATATGCTCTGGTGGCACCTCGTTCACCTGTTCCTATTTTAGTTTTTAGTTCTTAAATAGGTAGTAAATGCACATGTTTTAAAAAGCAAAACTAGGGGCGCCTGTTGGTTAAGCGTCTGACTTCGGCTCAGGTCACGATCTCACGGCTAGTGGGTTCGAGCCCGGCATTGGGCTGCTCTCTGCAGTCAGCGTGGAGCCTGCTTTGGGTCCTCTGCCCCCCTCTCTCCACTCCTCCCCCACTCACTCACACCCTCCCTCTCAAAATTGAACATTAAAAAAATAAAAATAAGTAAATAGATAAAACTCAAAACTATACGAAAAGATAGACAGTTAGAGGTCTCACTTCTAGCTCTGCCCTCAACCAACCCATCCTTAGTCTCCACACCATGGGGAAATACTCTTGTTAGTTTCTTGCAGTATATACTTCCAGAGTTTTTAAATGAAAATACAAAAAAAAAAAAGAGAGAGACACGAAAAAAGCCATTCTCCTCTTTCTTGGATAAAAAGTGTACTCTTTGTTTTAAATTTTCGTTTTACCTTTTTTTTTTTAAAGGTTATTTATTTATTTTGAGAGAGACAGAGACAGCATAAGTGGGGGGGGGGGCGGGGATGCACAGAGAGAGGAGACAGAGAATCCCAAGCAGGTTTCACACTGTCAGTGCAGGGCCTGATGCAGGGCTCGAACCCATGAAACCGTGAGATCATGACCTGAGCAGAAACGAAGAATCAGATGCTTCACCGACTGAGCCACCCAGGCGGCCTTGTTTTTAACTTCCTGGTTTAGGGATCTCTCTAGGTCAGTTCACGGAGCCCTCTGTCCCTTTTTTAAGCTATATATGAAAGAAAGGCTCACATTTAGGGTCCATTGGTTGGGTGTGGGCTGGTCTTCATTGACAGACATCTGGGATTTCCAGTCTTTGGTGAATATAAACAACACCGCAAGGAACGACTTTGTGCATTTGATTCATGCTGGACCATTGTTCCTTCTATTTCCCTTCTTGCTCTGTTAAGTCTTTTAGGACAAGGTGGATTTTCAGCACGTCACCTGTGCCGACCTCTGGTGTGCGGCCATGCCCTTTGACCTTGCTGTGGCCTCTTCCTCCTTACTCCAAATTTTACCTCGGTTCTTACCTACCAGGATATGTTGTTAATTTTCATTCACAGCCACCTTCTATCCTTTTAACAAGTTGTTTGTTTTGTTTTGTTTTTTCATTGTAGAGCAAAATATTTCCAATTAAGACTAGCGATTCCAAAGAATTTCAATTCCAGACAATTTTACCAATATCAAAAACTGGCCAGGTACGGAGTATTTATGGGGGCCAGGCACTCTGCTAGACGTACGGCTTTACGTTTCACTTAATCCTCCTAAAAATCTAGTTATTGAGGAACTAATTTCTTCATGAGAAAACTTGCTCTCAGAGAAGGTAAGGGACAGGTCTAAGGTCACACAGCTGGTAAATAGCAGAGTTAGGATCTGAGCCCAAGTGTGCCTGACCCCACCATGGTCTTATCTACTAGAACACAGGTAGGAAGTGAGGCAATCTGGGGGTTTAAGTCAGGAGGGTTAATGAAAGAGTCTCTTTTTTTAAATTTCTGGTTCCAACCGAGATTTCTCTTAATTCTTTGTTTTTCCCTAGCTTCAGGGAGGATTTCTATTATAATGACACTGCTGGGTACTTCATTATTGGAGGGAGCAGGTATGTGACTGGCATTGAAGGGTTTTTTGGACCCCTGAAGTACTATCGTCTCCACACTCTGCACCCTGCACAGGTGAGCCCGGGGCATCGAGAAGTTTCTGGGTGTTCGTGCATGATGGGAGTGTGGCTCAGGGACGTGGAGCCCAGTGTAAATAAAAGATTTACCCAAGCCGGACCTCACATCGGCTCTGTCATCACACACAATTAATATGGAGGCTTTTCCCCCAGCAAACTCGATAATAGATTTCTGTTAAGGTTTGGTTCATTTAGTACTCACAAAATGGAAACCATTTACTTCCTCTGTTTTAATAACTACTAGCTTAATTATAGAGTAGATTTTTATCAGGCTGTTGCCTATCCAGTGATTAAGCTAATGAAAGGAGAGAATCTTAGTTATTTGGTAAAGCTTCTTTTATGTGCTATTATTTAAAGTATCAGAGGAGACACTCTAGCAAATTAAAATCTTGGTTCTGTTTGCTGGTCTCTTCAGAAACGCAGGCCCTGGGCCCCCACTGGGGTGGCTGGCTGTGGTTGTAGAGATTGTGGAGGGCTGAATCTACTGCACACTGACCCTCACATCCAGAACCCACCCGCAGATGGGATGGTCCAGCTCTCCAGGCCCGCTCCTGCGGGGGTTGGTGCAGGGAGACGGGGATTTCCCACCTTCGAGGAGGGGGGTGTTTTCTGCCTTGGTAAGGAGATCACCAGACACCTTAACAAGGTCATTCCTGTGACCCTGCGGGGTCGGTTCTGGGAAAAGCAGGAGTCCCTAGGCAAAGTATAGGAAGAAAAATGCGACGCCCTACTATACCCATGGGTGCATCTCACAGCCCCTGTGGACAGACCTCTACGAAGAGGAAAACAAAGAAAGAAATCAATTGATTCATTTTGCAACAAATGCTTCTAGAACACCCGCTATGTGCCGGGGCCCTGTGCTGGTGCTGAGGCATCCGAGATGATTAAAATGGTACCTCTCAAACTTTTTTTTTTTTTGAAGGTGGTTCACACAAGAAATCTACTTAATATCATGAACGTACATAAGCACACACACACACACACACACACACACACACACACACATACATATATACAAAACCAAAACAAAGATTTTACTAAGAATACATATCTTTCCAATGTTAAATGCACTCTGATATTTTGTGTCCTGCTTCATATAAAAATAAATCACTGCTGATTACAACCTGCTGAAATAATCGCATGCCCCTCCAATGGGTCACAACCTGCATTTTGGAAACCAATAAATTGAGATAAGGCCTCTGTTTTTGAGAAGCTCCCTGTCTGGGCCTCAAACACCTAAGTCAAGAATGCGGTATGTGCTTTAACTCACTTGCAAGCACAGTGTTTTTGGGGCGCTGAGGTGGGAACATCCGCCTCCTCACATGCTTGAGGGTGGACTGTTAGGGAAGCCGCCCTGAAGCATTGACCTTGGATCTGGCTCTTGGGGAGGTGAGTAGGAGCTTGCCGAGCAGAAGAAAGTTGGGGGAGGGTTCCCAGGCAGCGGCACAGCACAGGGAGACTTGGTGTCCTTTGGGCACTAGAAGGAGCCATGAACCTAATTGTCTGAGGACAGCGTGTGGCGAGGGGAAAGCAGAGGGTGGAGGCCTGGCGTCTGGGAAATCCTGACATTTAAGAAGCTCTGCGGAGGACAAGATGCCACAGAAAGCAGCTAGAGGGGACCGGCCAGAGCTGGCGTGTCCTGGAATTATACCCTCCCTTTGCTAATGCAGAGCGGATGATCTGTGTGCAAAAAGAAAGCCGACTGGTCCTACCAGTGCGAGAATGCAATCCACCCGAACACAGCCTCGTAGGTATTGACGGGTGTTTGATGACAGCTTGTTGTTCATTCAATTCTCTTGCCTTCTTGTAGATTTTAAACCCCCTCCTTGAGAAGCAGCTTGCTGACCAGATCAAGTTATATTACGAAAGGTGTGCTGAGGTCCAAGAAATAGTGTCTGTGTACATGTCCACGGTACAGCAAGGGGGCAGGAGACCAGAAGCATGTAAGTACTGAGCTGCAGGAGAGCAGTTTTGAGCTCTGTGTATTTGTGTCAACACGTGTGGCCTCTTTCTAACACGGTTAACGTAGAACATATGTGAGTTGAGCAGTGGGGGCACATACGACCTCGAGCCCTCCACGGATGGACGCACGAGACAAGTGTGTGTTCCACGTGGATTCCAAGGAGACCGACAGTGACCAGGAACCCAAATCTGCCTCTCAGCTTCCACCATGTGTGACTTAGTTGAGGAATACAAATGAAAGCCTTTTGAGCCTCACATCGCGTCCTTGCCATCCATAATGGGATCCTAGGCCGGTCTAAGAAAATAAAAGTGAATTGGAAAATAAATTAATCATTAGAAATGTTTCCCCATCGGTGCACTTTTGTCTTGGACCATTAATATCTGAATATTAGCTTTCAGAAATGTTGAATAGCGACTTTGTTGTTTGGGGCTCGGTTTTTTTCATCCCTGAAACTGATCCACTCTCGAAGACCCCGGTCATAGCCAACAGAAGGAATGCTTTTCAGATAGACTGCTTTCGTGCCTGCTCATATTCGCATGGACATCCTTCACTCATGCAGGGTGTTCATTGATTACAAAACTTGGTTCCTGGCTTGTCTCCCAAGTGCTCCAGCTTGGGTCTAGCGCTTATCAGTGTCTCTGTGCTTAGACCCTCTTGCCCAATACGGTGGTGCTAGAGTTAGTCACATATGTTCCTTCGGGAAGAGAAATTCCCGCGGGGCCTTTGCCATCAGCAAAAGCGAATTGAGTATCACAGTCCTGCCCACGCATCTCAGCCATCTCCAGGGCCGCACTTGCCATTCTAGGCCGTGGATGGATGGGTGCCTCTGGAACATACCTCAGTCGGATAGGGTTCTCATATGGCGGCCTCAGGGAGGGAGCAGAGACGGTGATAGGTAAGTGTGGAAAGTCGGCCCTTCTGCAATTTAATTTAAGAAGAGGCAATACTGGTCCCCAGCTGCTGCTTGTACAGCTGACTCATCCAGAAAATATGATGCTGTCAGAAGAGGGGGAAGATATATAGGAATAGTAATATTCCCAAACAGGAAAGAAACTGATTTTGATAACTGATGTAATTTCGGGAGAGATGCTCTGAACTGGAAGGCCATCCTTGCCTGCTGATCTGTTCGGTGGCCTTGGAAGATTTTCCTAACATCCACTGCCTTGCCTCCCTGGGGGACCTTGTGCTTTGCTCCTCAACTCACGCTGCCAACAAAATGGCCTAGATATTGGCCTCCTGGGGAACAGTCCGAGGCCAGCTGCTCATTCTGGAGAATTATTCAACAGCCATAGCAACTTTGGCACATTGCCCTCGGACGTGGCTTTGAATGTGTGACCTCGAGGCAAAGGCATCGGAGCCAATTTCAAATCCCTAATGCACCCAAACCAACATCCAGTAACATAAAGTCTGACCTCTTATTCCTAGTTCCTCTTAGGGAGGAGGGGTTGAGAAGGACGAGACCTTTCTTCTCCTAAGGGGAGTGCTATCTTGTGTTTCCCTTGCCCAGGCGACCTCCGGAACTCCTATCTGGACCTGAAGCTCAGGTACGGGAGGCCCTCCACGTGCAGAGCCTTCCCCTGGGAGCAGGAGCTGAAAGACCGCCACCCCAGCTTGTTCCAGACCTTGGTGGAGATGGGTTTGTTGACAGGTGATTGTGTAGGTGCCTTGCCTTTGGACACTGGCTGGGAAGGCTCCCTCTTGGGCACTGTTTCACTCACCCTCTTTGGCGGTTTATGCCTCAAAGTTATTCTTAACCCTAGTGTTCTAGGTTAACATCAGATTTAAATTCTGCCCTTGTGTGTCCACAACCCTCAGGGGGTCTGTGCACATTTCAAAAGCCAGATACAAAAGCAAATTTGGGAATCACTCCAGCAATTCTTTTGAAGCCAAGGCCACAGATGACAGCCTGCAGCCAGAGCTGGCCACCAAAGGTGATTGGTTTGGCACGCACGTTATTGTCCATTTTTTTAAAAAATTAGTTGCTAGTGTCTAAAAAATGCAATTTTTTTTTAGCTTTACTTGAAAAATCCAATGATCTGGCAATGCTGGGGCCTCCATTCCTACATCACAGCAATTCTGGAAGTGAGAGTTGGCACAGGTGTGCTCTGTCCATCCACGGTAGCCCCCACCCCCTCCTATTCCAGCACCTTCTGTCTACTTCTTTCATGGATCTTACCTGCCTGGGCCCTTAGGGCACTTGAACTTGAGATCCCTGATTTGAAATGCACACTTTAAGCAGCATCTCGGGAATCTATACTTCCCAAACGTGGCCGGCTTCTCCTGAGGCCCGTGACAATTTGTGTGTGCTTAGTAATTAGTGCACTCTGGGGCCACAAGGGATCTCGAAACCATGTCTGTTAGGAAGGGGAGGGAAGCCAGAGGTGTTCAGCCGGGGGAAACTGGTTAGAGGCAACCCGTGGTTTTCCTGGGCATCCAACCAGGACCTTCAGTCAAAGTAGTGCAGAATCTAACTTCTAGTTCATGTCAGAGCCTCCTGAGAATGTCAGTGTTGAGTGGAGTAGATCCCCTACTATAGATAGTGCAAAAGGAATCTATTCTGGCCGGAAAGAATTCGAACCATACAAGGTATTTCCTCTTACGTTCATTCGATACTTGCTGAGCGTCTGACCGGTTACTTGGCTAGGCTTTAAAGATAAGTAAAATAACCCAAGGTCCCTGCCCTTGAGGGACAGACTTGAAGACAAAGAAAAACGGTGATGCATTTTCAGTAAAAGTGGTGGGTGGAAGTGATAGAGTCATAAAAAAAAAAGGGAGTTGTCAGGGAAGGCTTCCTGGAAGAGGTGGCATTGGGCTTGATGCTTGAAGGGTCAGTAGGTGTTTGCTAGGTAAGCAAGGTAGGGGTTGGGGGGGTGGGAGGCAGAGTAGAGGCAGAGCAAGGGAACAGTACAGCATTTTAAATGATGTGCAAGGGGTTTGGGAGGCAGGAGAAGGCCTGGAGAGTGATGATTCTGACTGCGGTCCGGACACCGTCCTGAGAGTTTGGACTTCGCCTTGTAAGTGACGGGGGCCTGTTGAAGGGTTTTAAGCCGCGGGTAGAGGTGTGATCAGAATTGGGTTTTGAGGTTACTCTGGCAGCAGTGGGAGGTTGGGGGGGAGGTGAACAGAGAGGTGTGGTGTGGAAAGCAGGGAGTCCGTGGCCGTGGTCCAGGAAGAAAGGATGCAGGGGTCAGAGCGGTGGGGACAGAGCTAAAGGCTGTAAAGGGGTTGACTGCTTGGGCTCCGGCAAGGGGGACAAGGAGCGGGGAGGCCGTGTGCAGTCGTGTGACAGCCTCTGCAGCCAGGTGGCCTGAATCCAGCTTTAGCTTAGCACTCACTAGCTGCGTGATCTTGGGCGAGTTCCTTCGCTTCTACGAGCCCTGGTTTCCTCATCTGCAAAATGGGGATGATAACAGCACCCCTCTCCTAGCGTCGGGTTGAATGAACCGAGACACATGACACAGAACAGAACGGGCACATGGGAAGCTCTGGGTAAACAGTGTTTCTCGACCTGGCCACTACTGACATTGGGGCCTGGATGATTCTTTGCTGGGGGCGGGAGGAGAGGCCTCTCCTGCGAATTATAAGATGTGCAGCTACGTTTCTGGCCTCAACTCATTGGACACTAGTAGTACTCCCTCCCCTCCCCTGACCCCTGTCTCGAGTGGTGACAACTAGAAAGGTCCCCGTGGTCTGCCGGACGTCCCCAAGGAGGCCAGATTCCTCACAGGGCGAATCACCGTGCTCCACGGTGGTGGAATCACCACCCAAGACAGGCCAACGGGAGAGAGGCTTGCATGGTGAACCGTTGAGGCTCAATGGGCTGAGGCCGCATCCACGTCAAATTCGGTTTTATGAGATTTCTGATCCCATTTAAATACCGTTTCGCTGACTGGGAACAGGGGTGAATCATTTTCACCAAACATTCTTTTTAAGGTAAATACTCTCAGTAAGGATGTTTTCGTGTTATTTTTATAGCTCAGAAGTTTTGTTTATGAGAATTTAGGATTGTTATTTTCTCTGTGGAGGCCTGGGGATGGAATCTAAGTAAAAGCCCAAATCATGGGGCTCCCGGGTGGCTCAGTCGGTTAAGGGTCCGACTCGCGGTATCTGCTCGGGTCATGGCCTCGCGGTTCGTGCGTTTGAGCCCCATGTCCGGCTCTGCACTGAGAGCGTGGAGCCTGCTCGGGATTCTCCCTACTTCTCTCTCTGCCCCTCCCTCGTGCTCTCTCTGTCTCTCTCTCTCTCTCTCTCTCTCTCAAAATAAATAAATAGACTTCAAAACTCATCACGAGCCCTTGAACCTCAGGGCGCCCTGGGCTAGGTGTAGGGACCGTGACATTGCCATGTGTTCTGCTTACCCCTGGTAGGCTTCCGGGGGCCCCATCCTGGTGGCATATGGAACCCCAAGGCCGGATTTGCCACCTTAGAGCCCACTGCTGGTGCCGAACCAGCCAGTGGAGTCCTTCTGGTGCCACGTCTGCTTAGAAGAGCTCCAAGGAGCGTCTTCTGAGGGGCCGTGCGTGCCCCACGCATAGCGTCTGTCTCCCTCGGGCACACAGCCACCTGCGTTCCTTCCCTTCCTGCCATTTCCTCGCACCGGCAGGCAAGGAGGGAGGGTGGCAAGGGCAGGCCGATCTCCGGAGTGAACCTCAAAGCCCCCTTTCCGCCTTCAGCCCCTGGTTTTCTAGGTTACACCGTCCTGTCCATAAGGACTGGGAGCCTTCTGCAGAGGGAGGGCACACACTCCCCATTAAAATGCCTGGCACAGTGCCCTCGCTCGGGGCCATCACAGTGTCCTCCTGCTGGCCCCCGAGAGAGACTGCATTTGTGCGTGGCGCCCGGGTTCTAACAGGGCTGAGCGGAAGGCAGAAAATTTGATTTTGTAAATTGAGGTTAAACAAACAAGTTTACGTTCTTAACATACCTTTGCTCTGCTGTCCTATAAAAGGCATGGTTGTTGACCAGAGTGGCTGGTCCTTTCCTGGTTCCTCCCGTGCCTGTCCTTCCAGATTCGTCTTGGGGTTAAGTGTCCAGCTGACTTGGGAGTGCTTCGGACAACTCTAGTTAATAGGAACCATGTCTCCATTATGTTTTCTGCCCTCTTGCCCTGAGCTGTCCCGTCCCGTCGACTAGTCGACTTCATTAGAACCTCCTCATCATACCACATTTTTCATATCTGAGATAAAGTCCAAGAATGGCAGTCAAACATCAGATGTTTTTGGTGTTTGGAATTCTGGCTTTGGGAACTAAATGGGTGGTAAGAGAGAGAAGGAATTCAACCGTGTGAGAAACTTCTAGGTTGCCCATGGCACCACCTTCATTCATTCGTTCGTTCAATCCATAGATGTTGGCTGAGTGCCCCCTGTGAGCCAGGACAGAACAAAAACGGGGCTGTGTTTTGAACGAGAGTCATTTAGGTAAATTTAAGGGAAGACGTCGGCTCCCATTGTTCCCACAAAGGGAATTAATTTGTGGAATTCTGTTTCTCCTGGCATGTTGAAAAAAATAAATAAATAAGACAACAGAAGACAGTGGCCCGTGATTTCTGGTTCTTTCGACAGGCTCATTTTTTTTTTTTTTT